GGGACAGAACTCAGGGCCTTGCACAGGCTAGGGAAACACTCAAACACTGAGTCACACCAGCAGGTCTTAGAGTGACTTTCTTAATTAACATATTTGTAGTAGGTAATGATTACATTCATTGTAGAGAGTAAGTACGCACACGGCTGTTAACTTTCTCTTCTCCTTTTTTCTTGGTCCCCTTCCCATCTGCACAAGATCTATCCCTATTTTTCATGGCCTTTTCTTTTGCTCTTCATTCATACGTTGTGTTTCTCATGTAAAAGAAGTTAGCACTATACTGTATAAGATAGGTATCTTCATTTATTTTACTCAAAACTATGGTCTCAAGGTGCATCCATTTTCCTACAAATGTCTCAAATGCATGCTTCTTTACAGCACAGTAGTATTCCATTGTGAATAATACATTTCTTTTTATCCATTCATCTGTTGATGGGTATAGACTGCTTCCAAGATTTAGCTATTTAAAATTGTGCTGATATAAACATGGGTATGCATATTTCACTGTAATATGATAGTTTTAACTTCTAGGAAAATATCTAGATGGATGAGTCAAATGAAATATCTAATTTTAGGTTTCTGAGGAATCTCCAACTAGTGATTAAAAAAAAAACCAGGTCATATCACTCCTCAAAACCCTTCAATGGCTCCTTACTGCTTTTAGAATAAAAGCCCAACTCCTCACTCCAGCCTACCGGACCCTCTATGACCAAAGACCTCCACTGTCCGGACTCCTCTCCTGTCACTCAATCCTCCTTAGGACTCCTGGGATTCACCAAGCTCACTCCCACCTCACAGCTCTCAGCCCTGCTGTTCCTTCTGACACATCTTCTAATAGCTGGCCCCTTCCTGGGAGCAAATCCCAGCAAAAATGTCACTGCCTTAAACAGGCTTTCTCTGACCTCCTAATTAAAGTAGCAGTGCCCACAATGCCCTGAGCAGCCATGTGCCACCACGCTCCATTGCTTTCACTGCACTTATTCCTATTCAAACTGATCTGTTGGTTTATTTTTCTGCTTGTTGCCACTCGAATAGAAGCTGCATGAGAACAAGGACCTCATCTGCCTGTGTACAATCACATACCCAGGCTGTGACACGGCTGACAAACGCCGGGTGTTTAGCAAATGCTACACCAATGAAGCCGGCTGAGGAGAGCGCTGACCCTGGAGCCAACAGAGCGGACGTCACTATCAGGTGGGCCACTCCTTAGCAGCATGACTTCCCTTACTCAGGCTCCCTGGCTGTATAATGGAGACCTTCTCCTGGGTCTTACCCTCCTCCAAGGACAAGTGATAAGATCCAATAAGTAAAGGCATACGTCAGCATTTTGTAAACCAGTAAACACCATAGGGATAGCTCAATATTCTTTCTTGGGGACCTAAAACCAGAGACATAGGGAGCAACCTGAGGTTTCTAACCTGGGAGAAGTCCCAGGATACGAGGCTGGGAAACAGCTCAGTGTTCAATGGTAAAACACTTAGCTTGCAGGTGTGAGGTGCTGAGTTCAGTCCTCAGCACTGCAAAAATAAATAAATAAAGTCTTGGGACACAGGAGATTTGAACCAATGGCTTTATTCTGCAACCAGATCAAACACAACATACAAATTCACTTAAAGATATCAAATCAGGGCCAGGGATATAGCTCAACAGCACAGCATCTGCCTGGCAAGCACAAGGTTATGAGTTATATTCTCAGAACAAAAAAAAAAAAAAAAAAAAAAAAAAAAAAAAAAATTCAAATCAACTGATCATGGTGTTACACTCCTGCAACCCCAACTACTGAGGAGGCTGAGTCATGAGAATCAAGAGTTCAAGGCCACCTTGGAACTCAATGAAACTGTTGCAAAATACATAATAAAAAGTGCTGGGTGGGCTGGGGAGATGCTCAGTAGAATAAGCGCTTCCCTGGCAAGCGCAAGGGCCTGAGTTCAATCCCCATTTCCGCAAAAAAAAAAAAAGTGCTGGGAATATGATATAGCTCAATGGTTGGGTGCTTACCCAGCATGCACAAAGCCCTGGTTCAATTTTTTTATAAAGTCAAATCATGTCAAAGTAACTGCTGGGTTCCTTGAAGGTTAGGAGAACATCCTCCATGTCCCTGCCTGGACAGCTTTAGTAAACGTCTACTGAACTGAACTGAGTGTCTAGCTACCAATCTTGGCACCCTAATCAGCTTTCATTTTCCTTGCAACCCATCTTGGCATGACAGTGCCAGTTCCTGAAGCAATTACAGTTCCTGTAATATGGCCAGCATTTTCACAATGCTACCACTTAACTGTTTTGAGCATGCCACAACCTTGCAAGACTAACAAACCCAGTATCCTCACCACATACTTTATTCACTCACCAATTATCAATAGAATATATAGTGCAGGTCCTATGTTAAACAAAAACAATGGCAGCTAACATTAACCAGCCACATCAGACTACTTACGTGGAGTAAGCTCAAGTCAATCTCCATAGTACTCCACGTAACAGCTACCACTACCACCTCATGGAGACAACTGCTAAGTGGCACACAGCCTGGAAGTGGCAGGCCAAAACTTTAACTTGCAGCCTGGCTACACCTTTTGGAGTTTGGGTTGGGTTTTTTTGGTTTGTTTGTTTGTTTGTTTTTTTTTTCTTTTTTGCCTTTTTGAGACAGGGTTTCACTATGCAGTTTAATGTGGTCTTTTTTTTTTTTTTTAAATTTTTGTGTGTGTGTGTGTGTGTGTGTGGCCAGCTCAGCCCACCAGGGGGCGGGGCTGGCTGGCATGTGGTGCTGGGAGATTAAACCGTGGTCCCTGTGCTTTGCTAAGCTTGTTCTAAGTAGGTGCTTTAGACCACTGAGCCATCTCACCAGCCCTTAATGTGGTCTTGAACTCACTTTGTAGCCCAGGCTGGCCTCAAACTCAAGTACTCCTCCTGCCTCAGCCTCCCAAGCACTGGGATTACAGGCATGTACCACCAGGCCTAACTGCAACTCTTTCTTTCTTTCTTTCTTTCTTTTTTTTTTTTTGAGGGGGGCGGGCAGAACCAGGGATTGAACTCAGGCCCTTGCGCTTGCCAGGCAAGTGCTTATTCTACTGAGCCATCTCCCCGGCCCCATGCAACTCTTTCTTGACAGCCACAGGTTAGATGGTATCTGTTTAAGTGGAGCTTTACATGAGATCTTGTTTTCATGGTATTGGAACAAAAGCTTACAGCCAAAGCAGTTAGGAGCAACACAAGACATATGTGGCCTCATAACAGAAATGACAGACATCAGGGAATGGGGAATAGAATGCAGGATTGACCTAGAAACATGTCCAGCTCTGTCATATAACAGACACAAGATTCTCAGGCAAAGCTGGGCATGGTAGCACACCTGTAGCCCCACTACTCAGGAAGCTGAGGCGGGAGGATCACTGAGTATGAAGCCAGCCTGGGCTACACAGTGAGTTCAAGGTCAGCCTGTACTGCATAGCAAGACCCTGTTTCAAACAAAAACTAAGATTCTCAGGCCATTTCATTCGTGTGTGTGTGTGTGTGTGTGAGAGAGAGAGAGAGAGAGAGAGAGAGAGAGAGAGAGAGAGAGAGAGAGAGACTAGGTACTGAATTAAGGGACACTCTTACACTAAGCTATATTCTTAATTTTTTTTTTTTTTTTAATGACAAGTTCACCTAGCAGGACTTGAACTTGTCATCCTCCTGCCTTAGCCTCCTTTGGTGCTAGGATTGCAAGTGTGTACAACATACCTGGCTTATTTTTGTTTTGTCTTTTTTAAGACAAGCTCTTATTATGTAGTTTGGGCTGGCCTTCAATTCACCATCCTCCTGGCTAATCTTCCTCAATGCTGGGATTACAGGAGTGAGTCACCACGCCCAGCTAGTCCATTCACTTTCCTGACACTAAATTTCCTCATCTAGAAAATGCGGATGACAGCACCAGCCATTTGACAAAGCCTGTGCAGATTAAACGAGATAATGTACCTAAAATGTGCTCCCCATCCCCACTACCTGCTCGGGGCCTCACACATAGTACACACCTCTGTTACAGAGCATACTTTCACATCTGAACTATACTCATCATATACTTGTAAAGAGTTACGACTGCTTTAAGCACTTCCAGAAAGACATAAAATACTTTTTCTTCTGGAATAATCAACAAGTCACAATTAGAAAATAAGACCAGCCACCCAGAAGGACGGTTTCTCAGGTTTGTTCCCACCAGCACTACTTTCAGAAGTCACCTCCTTTCTCTGTGAAGATGACAGAAGGAAAGCTGGGGATATGAGAAGGTCAACTGGCAGAAATACCCATAGGAGCTGGCATGCTACGCCTAAATCCTACCTGTCCCAAAGCCATCTCCTCCTGAAGCCTTGCCCCATGCTGCAAACACCTCCTGGGGTTTCCCTAGCACTTACCATGTGCCAGGCCACTTCACAGACCCTGTGTCACTGGATTCCTGCAGTAGTCCACTATCCCATTTTATAAGTAAGAAAAAAAGGCTCAGATTAACCCGCCCAAGGCCACACAATTAGGGTACAAAGATGTAGTCGCAAACTCAGACACTCAAGACTTCAAACGGGAGTCCTGAGCAATTCTCCCTTCTTTCTTTCTCACACTTTACCATACACATCTCACCACTTAATCACCCAGAGCAGCAAAAGTTAGGACTCACTGAACAAATAGGGCAACTGAGGCAAGAGGGGGAAAGGCACTTGCCCAAGGTCACACTGAGAGCCAGGGGCAGCGTCGAGGCCAGCTCCCTGTCTCTTCCCAGCAGGGGCCCCTGACCACGACGTGCCCCTGGGGTACTGCGACCCCGGGTGCCCTAGTCTGGGGGTCCAACTGCCGCCCCGCCTAGGGGAGGAGGAAATAAGCCGCCAGGTCTGCCCGAGGATGCCCGGAGGCTGGGGAAGGGATGCTCGGGCTCGCGGGCAGCAAAGCCAGTCGGCGCCGCCGGTGCCCGCCGCCAGGAAAGTGCCAGGCGGCCACCGGGATCAGTCCTGCCCGGCGGGCACCAAGCCCTCCCGACTCACCTGCGGCCGGAGCAGAAAGCAGACGGCTGCCGCGGCGGCGGCGGCGGCGGCGGCGGGGGCGGCGGCGAACCCCAGGCTCAGCCATTCCCAGCTGCCCCGGATGGGGAGAGACTGCGGCCGCTCACTTCCTTAGCAACCGGGCTCGGCGACCCACTTCCTTAGCAACCAGTGTCAACTTCAATAACTTTATTGGGACTCAGGACACGAACACAAACCAAACCTGCGGAGCGGGGTGGGGCTGGTTCAGGGATGGCCTTGCTGGTGTCCTGCTCCTCAGTTTTCCCATCTGTAAAATGGAGCGCACTACGCCTTCACCCTTCCTAAAGCGCTTTCACATTAATTATCTGATATGTGTCTCAAATTATTGCTGAGTATCTCTCATTTAGTGCCCACCATGTGAGTGACACAAACCAAATAGAAATCATTCTGGAGCTTTCCCTGCCCTTCACCCCTCACATCCAATCAGTCACCACTTCTCTTAGTCTATCTTTCAGATGTTTGTTTCTCCATCTTCAGGGCGAGGCCAAGCCACCCTCGTCGCTGCGCTGCCTGCAATATCTAGTCTCTCTGTTCTTTCTGCTCTGCCAATCCATTTCCCACAACATGCCAAAGTAATAATTTAAAAACCTAAACTGGATAGTATCACACCCTTTATTTTTATTTATTTTATTATGTTTTGATTGATACAGGGTTAAGCAGCTCAGACTCATAGTGATCCTCCTGTCTCAAGCCTCCCCAGCGCTGGGATTACAGGCATGCGCTACCATGCCTGGTTTTCGGTGAACAGCCCGCTGGGCCTGGGATTCTGGGCTTGTGGTACCAAGGATCGAACCTGGGTCCCTACACCTCTGAGCTACCTCCCCAGCCCAGCACCCTTTAACGGAGTCCCACAGCTCTCATATTCAAATCCAAAGAACTTACTTTTTCCTGAAAAATCATTAACTCTGTTGTACCCTGCCCTACAAGACCATGTCCCATCTGCCCATGAGATTCACAAGTGATACTCCCTATTAAACATAAACTCTCTGGGCGGGGGTGATGGCTCAGTAGAATAAATGCTTCCCTGGCAAGCGCAAGGGCCTGAGTTCAATCCCCGGTTCTTAAAAACAAAAATAAACAACTCTCTGAGAACTGGGTCTATCTTTGCTCCTATTACAGCCATTGCACCTACAAGTAAGTTTCATCCATAGTAGGTGCTCAATAAATGCCCCCTGAATGAATGAATGAATGAATGAATGAATGAACGAACGAATGAATGCCTGTAACATATTCTTCCCCACACCAGCCCCTGTGTTTTGTGTGACATGGCAGAAAACTTTTACTTGCTCCTGTCACACAGACTATGTTTTGCAACCTTCTTTGCAGCTTCATGTTCTGGATCATTGAATCATATATGCCATTCTCCATCCTGACTCATAAAAACTTCTTGTACAATTATTTAAACTTTCTCCACTATAAAATGAAGAACGTTTTTTCTTTTTATCCCTCCCCAACCCCAGTATAGCAGATTGAAACTAGGGCTTTCATACTGAGCTGTATCCTCAACTCCTTTCCATTTTTTTTCTCTTTTAGAACCAGGTCTCACTAAGTCACTCACTGCACAAGCTGGGCTTGAATTTACAATCCTGCCTCAGCCTCCTGGAGTGGTGGGATTATAGGTGTATGCCAACAGGCCCAGTTATGGCTATGAGCTGCCTTGAAGGAAAGTTTTTTTTTTTTTTTTTTTTTTTTTTTTTTTTTCAGAACCAGGGATTGAACTCATGCCCTTAGGCTTGCCAGGCAAGCTCTTATTCTACTGAGCTATCTCCCCGACAGGCCCAGTTATAAAGTGAAGAAATTTAAAGAAAGAACCAGCAAGATAGTTTAGCAGACTAAGTGCCTGCTTAGGCAAACTCAGGAACCGGGGTTTGATTCCTGGCACCGCAGGAATCAGCCCCCAGGCTCACTGAGCTGGCCACAGAGACTGGGTATGGGGTCACAAACCTGTAATCCCACCTCTGGGGGGGCTGAAAATAGGAGGGTCATTATGGGTCTGAGCTGCGTAGTGAGACCCAGTACCAAATACATTAAAGAAAAAAAGAAAAGAAAAGAAATTTAGGGCTGGGGAGATGGCTCAGTAGAATAAGTCTTGCCTGGCAAGCGCAAGGGCCTGAGTTCAATCCCCAGTTCTGAAAAAAAAAAAAAGAAGAAAGAAAGTAAGTAAGTAAGTGAGAAAAAAAATTAAAGGACCTTGATACCACAGGAAGTGGCTGAATTATAAAATGGGAAGAACATGGGTAACAAGATGCCCCTTACAGAACAACTGGCCAGGAAGCCAGACTACCTGGATCATTCAAGTTGAACAAGAAAGTAAACTTCTATTGAATTAAACTGTGAGATGTGGAACCTTTCTATTAACTTTTTTTTTTTTTTTTTTCAGAACCAGGGATATGAACCCAGGCCCTTGCGCTTGCCAGGCAAGTACTTATTCTACTGAGCCATCTCCCTGGCCCACGTGGAGCCTTTCTGTAAAGATAAAAGCTGTGAACCATCCTTTGAGCCACAGCTTACTGCCCTTTCCCTAGAAATACAACCTACCTCCCTACCCTACCCACCATTATTAAAAAATAGTTCAGAGACTGGCATGGTGGCACATGTCTGTAATTTCAGCTCTCAGAAGTCTGAGGCAGGAGGATTGCTATGAATTCAAAGCCAATATGAACTAGTTGTGAGACCTTGTCTCAAAAAAATCAAAATTAATTAATTAAATTTAAAAGTTGGCAATAAATATTTATCTTTTAGTGACTACAAATATTTTTGTCTAGAGAGTGAAGTAACATATGTATTTATATTAATGTTTATTGTATTTATGTTTCATTTCTTCCACAGCTTTTGATATTTCTGAGGCTAATAATTGTCTCAATTTTTCCCCATTTTCATTAGTCTTCTTTGTAGCTATTGTTAATTTTTCTACATGTGCAATAAATCAGGTCAATAGGAGTAATTTTTTCAGATACCTGCACACAACAAATAGTTCATTATTTTGGGTGTGTGTGTGTGTGTGTGTGTGTGTGTGTGTGTGTGTGTGTGTTTCTCCTAAAGACTAGCTGTCATCAAGACTGTATTGCCAGGGCTGTTGAGTGCCTTCTATACTTGGACCTTTCTATGTCCTGCTCCTGGGTGAGATTTCCTGTGCTCTGGACAAGAAATGTCTTTTAAATTTTACTTTTAGTTTTCTGAGATGGGGTCTCACTTTGTAACTCAGGCTGGCCTCAAACTTGCAGCAATCCTCCTGCCTCAGCCTCCTGAGAGCTGGAACTACAAGTCTGCACCACTACACCTGGCATAGGAAGTGTCTTCTGGTTGTGGATTTACTCCCTCTTGTCTGTACAGCATACCTTGCCATAAGTTCCTGAGAAAGAGTACACAGAAGCGAGTATATTTAGTCCTTGTATGTCTGTAAACTATTTTTTATACTTGATTAATAGTTTAATGGGGTTTAGAAATTTAGGATAAAATTTGTTTTCTCAGAATTTTCACATCATTGAATTAACATTTCCAGTACCCAGATTTTAAATGACTAATGTCATTTTTAATCCAGCTATGACTACTCTCCTCCTCGCCACCACCTTTCCCTGTTTGCCCCTCCTCCGCCTCCTTCCTTCTCCTTCTGAGATACTGGGTATGGAACCCAGGGCTTTGTGCATGCCAAGAAAGCGCTCTGTCACTGAGCCATGTCCCCAGCCTGATCTCTTCCTTTTTGTTTTTAATGTTTGGAAAATTTCCACCTATTCCCTCCACCCACACTATTACAATATTGCATAATGATTTGCTTCAGTGAGGAGTCCCACTCTCTTCCACTAGTTGAGTTCTTTCAATTCAGAGATTTTTATGCCTTCAATATAGAAAATTTTCTTCTGACATTTCTTTGATAATTTTCTACCTTCATTTCCCCCTCCTTTGGATTTTCTCTTAGTCAAAAGTTCTTTGGGGATTGAGGTCCTTTTTTTTTTTCTTCTTAATTTTATTCTTTTCCACTTCCTCCTCTGGCTGGGGGGATTGCTCAGTGGAATAAGCGCTTCGCTGGCAAGCTCAAGGGCCTGAGTTCAATCCCCGGTTCTGCCAAAAAATAAATAAGTAAATAAAACAAAAGATAACCTGGGAGAGTTCCATGCCCATTGTTAGCATCCAACTGTTCTGTGGAGGGATTATGGGTTTACGTTGTAGCATCAAATCAATATTCCCCCCTGCAAACATTTCAGCCATGACTTACTCCCCTGTAGGTCAGCTACTACTGCTTCTTCTGTTTTTCAAAAAATTACTGAACTCTCTGGACCACCAAGGTCTCCTCTCTTGACCTAACAACATCAAAGGTTGATACATTGTGCTGGCCACCCAGGTGGAGATTGAGGCGCATGCGAATAATCTACCACATTTAGCTGGATATCTTCAGTGATATCTAGCTTGACAAGTGCAAAGTCCCAAGTTCGATCCCTGGTACTGTCAAAAAAAAAAAAAAAAAAAAAAGACGAAAGAAAGATAGATAAAAAGAAAGAAAGAAAAAAGAAACCAATATGAACAGAAATTTCAGAGAAAAGGAATGCAAAATATGGCTTTTCAACATATAAGAAAAGATGTTCTCAGCCCCTTAATAAGATTGAGATTTTCCTAAGCTCAAAGTTCCTCAACTATAACACAGATTCACTGTGTGTACAGCGCCCACGTTGGTGTCCCCCTCCATCCCCAGACTTAAAATCAAGGGAACCCACACACGAATCTCCTGCAGTGTCCTGGACTATGAGTAATACATTCCTTTATCCATTCACCAGAAGTTGTCTGACAGCATCTATGAAACTAGCAAACCAACTTGTTAGCTGGCAGGCAGGGGAAGATCCAACACTTTCTAATTCTTTACAGATGCTGGACTTTGTCAGACGCTTTCTGCACCTACTGACATGATGGTATGGCTTTTGTTTAGTTTTATATAGTGACTTCTATTGCTACTTGAATGCTCAACCAACCCTGAATACTGACATAAACCACTTAGTCATAAAAAAAAGATGTTCATGTTTCGATGAAAATGAAAAAGAAAACAGTGAAGTTGCACATGGTGGTATGTACCTATAGTC